TACTATATTCCTTATTTTGGGGTCCTTATAATAAAGGATCCTACCATTTAGGGTGCTATATTAGTGTCCCCTATTTTCGGAAACCCCCAGATTCCGCCTAAAGAGACTCCGCCCTTTCGATTCCGCTTCAGACTTCACGCTCCCAGGTCGGCGGTGCCTTGCCAGAGGCCACCTAACTCCGACAAGGGGGTCTCCATGGGCCCACCGCTTGGCCAGTTCTTTGCAAGGCCTGAAGCTCCAAGCTGCTCCAAGCTGCTCCAAGCTGCTCCAAGCTGCTCCAAGCTGCCAGCATGTTTAGAGCACTGTGGAGGAAGCCAGAGCAGCTCACTGCTCCAAGTCCGAGCTCCTTGAATGCCTCAGCTACGCCCTGGCCATCACCACAGGACATCCCCATGCCATAGGTACTCAGGTGAGATGAAATGCCAGCTGTTCGCAGGAGCTGGCTGCCATCGGACTTGTGGCAGATCCAAATCTGTGCGCCTGATTTGGGGTACTGTCTGCTCGTCGGCTCGTCTGCCTGTGACATCAGTCAGCTTTGAGCATGAAGCCGCAACCCCACCTCACCCACTGTTTCTTTTTTGAAGCCATGTTTCTCAGCATCGCAGCAGACACAGCTTTCTTGCTGCACAGCGGCACAGCATTTGCGCTGCAGGTGTTTACGAGAGTCACAGTGAGTTTGTCACAGCCGACTTGCGATTTGCACCAATGCCACGAAGCGGGTGCGATCGGGCATGTCCGGGTCAACAAAACCTTGTCCAAACTCAAACGACCTGGGCTCGGAGCCTTGCGGATGCGATGTGGGGCTTCGCTGATCAAGCACATAGTCATTGATGGAAAGCACAGCGTCTCTAGGCAGGCAGACCGAACGCCTGGTGCAAGCGCGAGCTGACGGAGTGGAACTAACGACACAAGATATCGATAGGCACCGGCCAAGCTGGTATTCGGATATGAGGAGACTGAACCCTGATGAAGTCGAAACATTGTTAGCAAATATGGGCAGTGGCAGAATCCCCATTATGGGAAGAGCCCCTGCCAGAGCCGAACCTGCAAACTGAGTGAGGTTGTCAGAGGCGCGCCACCAGCTCCTGAAAGCGCCCACAGCGAAGTCCTCACCAATGGGAGCCGGGCCAAAGCCTGCAGGAAGACCATTGGCAAAGCCGACGCATGAGCTCTTCAGGACGTCATCAATAGCCCTCCATTTGGACCTCACACGAAGGAGACAGAAACTCAGAACAGGGTCTGATGGGTACAGAGAGCTGCAGACAAGATACGCAAACAGCTCGACGAAGAACGAAAGAAGCGTGGGGCGGCTGCAGACCAGAGCTCGATGCCGAGAGAGACGAGCGTATGGATGCAGAGCTAAGGGCTGCAAACGCGGAAGCATCTCTGTCGAGAGCATACATTCTTTCGTAAAAGGGCCTCTTAAGTAAAGTTCTAGAGCCAATCTTCACATACGTTCACGTAACTTCATGCTGTAGACCACCACAAGAGCCTCATGATTTGGAAGGACCAGCGGGTCAGGTGTGAACTGCACTTCATGCAATGCTCCGTATCTGCCAGACCGCGTCGGACTCACAGGCGATCAAGACGATACCTCTTGCATTCTTAGTACTAGTACTATTATTGTCATTATGATTATCATTACTATTACTATTGCTATTGCTATTGCTATTGCTATTGCTATTGCTATTACTATTACTACTACTACTACTACTACTACTAGTACTATTACTGTTACTGTTACTGTTACTGTTACTGTTACTGTTATTGTTACTACTTTTACTACTACTACTACTACTACTACTCCTCTTACTCTTACTCTTACTCTTACTCTTCCTTACTCTTACTCTTACTCTTCCTTACTCTTACTCTTACTCTT